TACCTTGGCCTGCCTTGACGCATTGTTTGTGACAGCCGCTGGAGCAGCATTTCATCGGAGTAGGACAGTCGCTGTCAGATTGACATTGATCAGGCTTACCGTCACATTTTCTACCAAAAATTCCCTTCCAGTTTCTTGGGCAAGAACCTTAAAGAAATGAACACATTTAAAAATTGTTGGCATGTAACAAAACGTTCAAGTTAGATGCATTACGGCAATTGCCATAGGGTTTGCTTAAAAAAAATCTCATCAAATAATTTCATACCACAAGCTCCTTTATTATGTACTGAGATAGTCTTGTTCTTTTTACAAGCATCCTGACGCATCATGCATTCATTTGGATAGGTCTTGTTATTGGAACCACAAACTGGGTCAGTGGTGTTCTTGGGACATTCCTCGCACTTGCAGCTTATGATGCCAGATGTTTGATCTGCTTCACATACACCAAAGGCAGGAACTGCAGTGGCTGAGCAGACAACATGGTGTTAGCTTACTATATTGTTTTATTTTTTAATGTGATCTGCCGTTATATATTTCTCAATAGTTTTCTTTACCTTGGTTTGCCCTGACGCACTGTGTGTGACATCCACTTGAGCAACACTTCATTGAAATAGGACAATCACTGTCAGTGTTACATTCATCAGTTCTGCCATCACACGATCTGCCAAAAAGTCTTTTCCAGTTTCTTGGGCAAGTTCCTRAACAAATAGACATTCAACATAATACAAAGCAATGCCACATTGAGAGTTTCTAGGAATTCTCTTCGCATTGCTAACTATACAGAAATGCAAGTGTTAACGAAAAAAAACTACGTTATTTCCAATAAAAGCAATATTTAACTTTCATACCACAAGCTCCTTCCTTCTGTACTGAGATGGTCTTGTTCGTTTTACAAGCATCCTGACGCATCATACAATCATTAGGATAGGTCTTGTTATTGGAWCCACAAACTGGATCAGTGGTGTTCTTGGGACATTCCTCGCACTTGCAGCTGATGATGCCAGACGTTTGATCTGCTTCGCATACACCAAAGGCAGGAAGTGCAACGCCTGAGGAGACAATATGGCGTTAGCTTACTATATTTGTTTTATTTTTTAGTATGTTCTGCCATGATATATTTTTCAATAGTTTTCTTTACCTTGGTTTGCCCTGACGCACTGTGTGTGACATCCACTTGAGCAACACTTCATTGAAATATGACAATCACTGTCAGTGTTACATTTATCCGGTCTACCATCACACGGTCTGCCAAAAAGTCTTTTCCAGTTTCTTGGGCAAGTTCCTGAACAAATAGACATTCAACATAATACAAAGCAATGCCACATTGAGTTTTTCTAAGAATTCTCTTCGCATTGCTAACTATACAGAAATGCAAGTGATAACGRAAAAAAACTACGTTATTTCCAATAAAAGAAATATTTAACTTTCATACCACAAGCTCCTTCCTTCTGTACTGAGATGGTCTTGTTCGTTTTACAAGCATCCTGACGCATCATACAATCATTAGAATAGGTCTTGTTATTGGAACCACAAACTGGATCAGTTGGTTTCTTGGGACATTCATCGCACTTGCAGTTGATGATACCAGACGTTTGATCTGCTTCGCATATAGCAAAGGCAGGAAGTGCAAAGGCTGAGCAAACGATATGACATTAGTTTAATATGTCGTTTCTTTTTTTAGTAATGTGATCTGACATTATTTTTTTTCCAAATAATTTAACTTACCTTGGTTTGCCCTRACGCACTGTGTGTGACATCCACTTGARCAACACTTCATTGGAATAGGACAATCGCTGTCAGAGCTACATTCATCAAGTCTATCATCACACGGTTCGCCAAAAAGTCTTTTCCAGTTTCTTGGGCAAGTTCCTAAACAAATAGACATTCAACATAATTCAAAGCAATGTCACATTGAGTATTCATAACATTTTCTCAGCACAGTGCTAACTATACAAATATGCAAGTGTTAACGAAAAAAAGGAATATTTACTTTTATAAGTTCTATCTTATTCATAAAGAGAGAATTATTTTTGTAATTAAGCGGTTAGCGCCAAAAACTATTTTCTTGAAGAAAGGCTGTTTTACAAGGCTAAAATCTTGTTATTCAGAAAATTTAACATGTTTGGAAGTAGAGACGACCGATGAAAGTGGAATCACAGTGTTAAACCAAAGTAAAAATTTTATTYGAAAATGAGGTTTAGGCCTGCATTTGCTTATTTTCCATACATTTTCTATAAAAAAGCCTGACAAAGCTACATTATAACACAAATGCAACAAAACATCTTTGTACAATTGAAAATACCGCTTCAAACAAGCATTTTATCATAGTAGATCAGTTACTAACTGTTAAAAAAAGGTTTTGAGTGTTAACCCAAAACGAAAATGGGAATCAAAACTCATACGAAAGTCTAGTTTTTGGCGCTTTTTGCCATTATTGCTCGTTATTGAAAAAAAATTCCTCTTAAAGTTTTAGTTATTTCCAGTAAAAGACACATTTAACTTGCATACCACAAGCTACTTTATTATGTACCGAGATGGTCTTGTTCTTTTTACAAGCATCCCGACGCATCATACATTTATTAGGGTAGGTCTTGTTATTGGATTTTTGATATGCATTGGAAACAATTGAATTAATAAATAATAAATCTAAAACGTAGAAAATTTCATACCACAGGCTCCTTCTTTTTGTGGTGAGATGGTCTTGTTCTTTTTACAAGCATCCTGACGCATCATACAATCATTAGGATAGGTCTTGTTATTGGATCCACAAACTGGATCAGTGGTGTTCTTGGGACATTCCTCGCAGTTACAGCTGATGATGCCAGACGTTTGATCTGCTTCGCATACAGCAAAGGCAGGAAGTGCAAGGGCTAAGCAGACAATATGGTGTTAGCTTAACATATTGTTTTATTTTTTTATGTGTTCTGCTATGATATTTTTTCAATAGTTTTCTTTACCTTGGTTTGCCCTGACGCACTGTGTGTGACATCCACTGGAGCAACATTTCATTGGAATAGGACAATCACTGTCAGAGGTACATTCATCAGGTCTACCATCACACGGTCTGCCAAAAAGTCTTTTCCAGTTTCTTGGGCAAGTTCCTAAAGAAATAGACAATCAACATAATGCAAAGCAATGTCACATTAAATGTTTTTAGGAATTTCTCACCGCATTGCTAACTATACAGAAATGCAAGTGTTAACGAAAAAATAAACGTTTGCATTTTTTAGTTCTATCTAATTCATTACAGTGCGACTACTCCAACCAAAGCCAACTCGATAAATTTTCTACAAATTAACCAATCAAAAGTAGGAATCTGAACAATAGAATTGCTACAAATCGGACAAATATCCATGGGTTTACACGGCTGAGAAGACTGCCGGTACCTTTGTTGTCGAAGATAAACATGCTTTCGCATAGCAACATGGGTGATAAGATCTAACAGTGTCAGCCTGATTATATCTTTGTCTGGAAGAAACGAACTGTAATCATGAAGACTGTGTTCTATACTGTCTCTAATTTGCTTTCCTGTCGTATTTGAAGTCGTACAATATTATTTTTTTATATCTTTGGTGACACAAATCAGTAATCACTACACCTTTTGCTGTTCATTAACAGAAAATGTACATTCATTTGTGCCAATAGTTGTATCAATAACGTGTAATGTACTTTCATCAACACCACAAGTAACATCATTAGCGCGGATCAACTTTCAATAACGACAATTGAATATGCGTGTACATTCATAGGCATCAATGGACAATCAATAGCGCGTTTGTGCGCTCATATGCGCGGAATTTATTTTCRTTTGCGCGAAATTCAACTTCAATAACACCAAATGACAAACAATAGCATTTATGGACAATCATTTACCCAAAAGTGAAAATTCATTAGTGCTATTAGCATAACCATTGACAATCTATAA